GACTCGAATATCTTTCTTAATTCGAATATCTTTTTTAATTTAAATACTCTTCTTAATTTAAATATTCTTTTTAATTTAAATATCCTTCTCGATTTAAATAACTTTTAAATTATCTTTAAAAAGATAAAACTTCTTTTTAAGAGAGATTATCTCGAAATATATAATTTCTAATTAATATCTATAAAAGTTTTTAATTAAAAATCTATTATAAAGAAGATTTAGTTTAAGATTTAGAGGGAGTAAATAGATATTAATTTATCTATAACTATTTATATTAGCCGATTTCTACCTATATATTATATCTTTTAAACTTCTAATTATTTACTTTAAAATATCTTTAAATAATCTCGAGTTTATTAATTATTTTATCTTATTAATTAACGATAATAAGAGTATTAATAAGTATAAAAAGTTTAAAGATATAAAGATCTCTTCTAATATTACCGACGCTAGCGAGAATTACTTCTCTTTCTTAATATTATTAGAGATTTATTTTAAATAAAGTTCGTATATTAGCGATCTAAGAGCTTCTTATAATATATCTAAAATAATAATATTAAATCTATATTTAGAAGTTATTAATACTTATAACGAAGACGTTATTAAGACTTTTATTATCTATATAAATTAATAATCTATATAATAATATTAGAATCGAGATATATTATTTTAAAAATATAATAAATTAAAAGAAAGCTTTAACGTAAGATATTATAAAAGAAGATTTATATATATTATTACTCGCTATATTCTTATATATATAATTATTTAAAAATCGAAACTTCTAATTTAAGAAAGTCGATTTCGATTTTATAAGAAAGATATTCGATACTTTAACGAGTATTAATATATATAAATCTTAAAGGAATTTAGATATTAAGAGAAGAGATTAATAGAGCTAAAGTCGGATAATAAGAATATAAATATATATTATTAGTCTTTATATATATTATATTAACTTTAACGCGATTATAGCGATAGAAAAACGTATTAATAACGATTTTTCTTCTTAGATAATTAGCGCTTATAAGATATATTATAAATAATAATATTCTTATCTTTAATAGAGAAGATAGATTACTCGATATAGTAATATAAATTTATATATATAAACTTAATATCTAGCGATAATATTATTAAGTTAAATTAAATTAAATTTATAATATAACTAAGTTAAGTTAAATTCGACTTATAAAGTTAAATTAATATCGCGAATTATAGAAATAATAAAATATTAATATAAAGCGATTACTATTTCTAGAAAAATTATTTAAATAATATATAGTAATTATTAAATTAATAAATATTATTTAAATAGTATATAGTAATTATTAAATTAACGAATATTATTCGAATAGTATATAGTAATTATTAAATCGATAAATAATATTCGAATAGTATATAATAATTACTAAATTAGTAAATAGTATTCTAATAATAAATAGTAATTATTAAATTAGCGAATAGCGTGTGAAAAGTAAATTATAGTTATTAATTAGGCGGAATTTAAGCGAATTTAAATTAGATTTACTAATTTAGCGAATTTTATAATTTCCGCGACCAACGCGCGATTAGCAATTTCAAATTTTATAGAAACTTTTTAGATTTATAGATGTTATCTAGTTTTTATTAACGTCTTAATACTATTAATATAGAGACGATATTTATTAAAGTAGAGGCGGTATTTATTAAAGCGACGATGGCGGTAATAGAAACGATAGTAATACTTAATAAAGTCTTTACTTTAACGCTATATCTAATACTCTAAAATAATATTAATTTTTTCGAAGAGTTATTAACGATAGATTAAGTATATATAAATTAAGCTCTTCGCGTAATTTATTTATATATTAATTTAAAGTTATTAAAAGATAAAGAATAAATATATAACTTAATAACTATATTATATTTTTAATATTATTATAATAATATTAAATTATTTAAATAGAAGTTTAATATATAAAGAAGATAGTTTAATAATAAGAAGAATTAATATAAAAAAGAAAGTTTTAGAGAAAAAAGAGAGGGGAAGAAAAGTTTAGATATCTATCGCGTATATTAAATTTTTAAATTATTTTAAATTATTTAATTTAAATTAGATATTAATAAAATATTTTCTTTTTAATTTTAAAGATTTAAATTTAAGCGAATTACGTTTATTAAGCGTTATTATCTAATATAATCTTAACTACTTCTATAATAATTATAATTATTATTATAATTTATATAGATTAAAAGATAAAAGATTTAAGAGAGCGAGTTAATAAGTAATTATCTTTATCTAATTTAACTAGCGTTAAATTATTATAACTTATTAAAATTTTCGCGTATTTTATTCTTACTTTCTTATTTTTAAATCTTATTATCTTTATAGAAATAATTATTCTTTAAATCGAATTTTATAATAATATATTTAAAATAGCGCGTAATATATATTCTCTTTATTTCTAATATTAATACTTATTAAAATTAACGTATTTTTTAATAAAATAAGCTTTAATTAAAATTAAGAATAGCTTAATATTTATAGATATTCGTATAAGCCTTTTAATTCTTTTATATATATCTATTAATTTATTTTTTTATAATAATTAAAGTAGAAGAGACTAAGTCTAATAATTTATTATAATAAATATTAAATATTAATAATAATAGTAATATTAAAAAGTTTTAATATAAATTAATTAAAACGAAAAGCGAAGAATAAGCTTAATTAAAATAAAAATATTAAGAGATCGCGATAGCGAATAAATATATTTATATTTAAAAAGAAACTAGTTAAGAAAATAAAGAAAATCGATATCTTAACTATTAACTACGCTATAATTATTAAAAAGCGTAAAATTAAATATATCGATATATCGTTATTATAATAAAAGTAAACTTTTAAATAAATTAGATAAAATATAATAAATAAGCGATAAATAGCTTCTAATTCTAATTATTATTCTAATAAACTTATATTTTAATAATATTATATAAGAAAAATATATAAACGTAATTACGAAGAAGTCTAAAGTTTCGCTTATCGCGCGAATTATTATATATATAAATAAAGATAAAAGCTCGAATTAGAAGAAAATAAATAATATCGAAGTTAAATAAGATATAAATATTAAGAATAATTCTACTATACGCGCTAATAATTAAGTAGATTTTATTTTTTAAGCTACTCGAAAGTATAATATAGAATTTAACGATAAGCGTTATCGTAGTTTAGATATAATAATATTAACGCGCTAGCTAATAAGTATTAAATTATTATAAAAATCTTAAAATATTAAGCGTAATTACGTCTAGAAGATAAAATTATAAATCTTTATTTATATATAATTAATTTAATATATAATAATAAAAAGCTTATTACGAAAGCTATATTATTTAAATTAATATTTTAATCTTAATTATTATTATCGCTATTATATAAATAATATAAAGTTATCTCTTATTTAAGTATATCTAATTTTTAATTTTAATTATTATTATAAATATCGTTAATTCGTTCTAAAATTATTAAATATACTTTTATATACTTTTTATATTTAATCTTTTTTTTATATATCGCGAGAAGATAGCTTAAAGAAATATAACTTATTATATTAAGCTATAATATTTTTAAAAGAATATTAAGAGATATATTAACTTTTCTAAATTAACGATTTAATAAAAAGACTATAATTATAATACGTATAATTTTATATTAGATAGCGATATCGAAAATATATAATAAACGTATAAAATTATCGTTGACGGCTTTAATTATGAAGTGTCGGCGGATTTCGCGCGATTAATATTAGAAGAAGATAAGCTTTTCTTATTATTAGTAGATATAACTTACTTTCTTTTATATATATAGAGTAATAAAATATAATTATATTTAATTTTATATTTTATTAATTTAGTATAATTATTAATTAGAATAATAATTAGAATAGCTACTTCTAAATATAGAAATCTTAATCGAGATATTTTATATATATATTATTTTATAATATAATACTATAAATATATTATATCGTAATATATATTATTAAGATCTTATATTATATTAAATATAGAATTATATAAATCTTAATAATTTATATTATATTAGAGTATAATATAGTAGATTAATATCTTATATTATATTATATCTTTTCGACTAGTAATTAAGATTATATATATAAGAAGTAAGTATATACTCTAGAAAAGTAGTTTTATAAAGAAGAAAGATATTTCTTAATATAATTAATTAATAGATGCTAGTAAGCTATAAAGAAACGAAGAAAGTAGTTATACGTTAAGTTACGCTAGATTAAGCTACGTTAAATTACGAAAACGTAATATTATCTTACTTATATAATATATCTCTATACTAGTTTTAATACTTTAAATAATTAAAGCTCTTTTTTAAAGATTATCTAATCTAGCGACTTCGCTAATATATTTATCTATTTTTTAATTCTCTATATATAATTTAAGAAGCCTAAAGAATTAATTAATTTACGCTTTATTCTTCTTACTTATTACTTTAATTTAATTTTTTTTAACTACTACTTTACTTCTTACTTCGCTTCGCTCTTTCGTAAATTATAGAAATCGAATAGAAATTTAAAACTAGCGAATAAAAAAATTAATTCCGGCTTGAAACGATATATCAATTATTTCGCTTCGAAATAATATATTTATATAATTTGAGAAGCCTAAGAGACTAATTAATTGACGCTTTATTCTTCTTACTCATTACTACGCTTTATTTTTTCCGACTGCTACTTCACTCCTTACTCCGCTCCGCTCTTCCGCAAATTACTATTTATTTCGCTCCGAAACGACATATTTCCTTTAGGCTTAACATATTTTTATTCAAAATCACCGTTTATTTCGCTCCGAAATGATATATTGTCGACACGCTGCTCGCTAGAGACGAAATGCAAAGCAGACCTTCAACCCCTGCAGGCTGCTCGCTAGAGACGAAATGCAAAGCAAACCTCCAACCCCTGCAAGCTATGGGCCCAATTTGCTCAGAGGCGCTGACCACCACTCTTGTTGCCGAAAATCTTCGATTGCCTCTTTGACTTGCAAGTCGTCGCGGTACATCCGCGCTGACCCTTCGCAGCCGTCGTTCCATTCTGAGACGCTCCAGACGCCATGACTGGGCTGCTCGAGTTCGTAGCTGCGCCAGATGCGATATTGGCTGCCACGACCGAAGTCGCTGCAACTGCTGGAGATGCAACCACAGGGGTAGCGGTACCTGAGAAGCCTGGCGTTGAGGCGCTTGTGGGAGTCGAAGGCGAGGCTGATAGTATGGGTGGGTTTATGTCCAGTGATTTGGGTGGCATCGATGAAGGCGCCGCTGCTGGTGCTTGAGCTGGCGTCGAAATGGTAGCGGTTGGTGGAGCCGATGCAGGGGCTGGGGATGCAGGCTGAGTCGCTGCTGGGGAGATAGATGCCGGCGACGCGGCCGGAGTTGATGCTGGAGCCGCGGCTGGGGATGCGGCTTGATTTGCTGCTGGTGCTACATAAGCTGGCGACGCGCCTGGAGCGGATGCTGGAGCCGCGGCTGGCTGAGTCGCCGCTGCAGCTCCGGCAGTCATTGGCGAGATGGTGGATTCGACAATATCCACAGTGACTGTCAGCGGAACTTTTGGAGCTTCAGCGACTATTGCCGCGGATACTGCGTTCTCGATGTAGGAAGCCATTCCAGCATTCGTCGTTGAGTTGTAGTCTGCCGGTGAAGCTTGAGCAGATACAGCAGATACAGCAGGGCTTGCTCCCGCAGGTGCCGGTGAAGCTTGGGCAGATACAGCTGGGCTTGCTCCCGCTGCCGCTGGGGAAGCGGTGAGCGAGCTCACGTATGCTGGAATGGCCGCGCTGTTCAGGTGGTCGGCAGCGGATGACGAAGCTGGTGACGATGCTTGTCGAGCTTTAACGCGTCTCTTACTTCCCTGCTTGGCGACTATATCGACGTCCATACACGAGGTATAAAGCTCAGCCTTGCCTTTGGGCAGATTTGGGTCCCCATACATAGACGTTGGCCAATCCCATACCCAGTAGAGCACATAGGGCACCCCAGTGGGTATATCTGTAGGAAGAGCAATATCATTTTGGCACCATAGATTCGTGCCCATGAGCTGGTTTGCTGTGTGAGGAAATTGCGCTTGACGATGGGTTGAGATGTTACCTCCATTGATTTGATAGCAGTAGCCATCATCAAAAGGTTGAGTCGCGAGAAGCTTGCCACGCCGATCACCACCACTACCTTCCGCGTTCCATTGTCCAAAGACATCAAGGAATCGCTCGGGAAACTTTGGTTGGGTAGTACCATAAATGTAGACCAAACCACGATTCAAAGGCTTACCCGGCTGATTTTGCGGGAGAGTGACATGGCCGTTCTCCTGATAGCGCAACGCGACTAAGTCACCCGGAGCTGCTTGAAGGCGTGGACTGCCATCAGCCTGGTACTGCGCGTCCTGGGTGCGCTTGCACATTGTGTCGTTGGGGTAAACTCCAGTTGTGTCCAGTGCAGGAATCGTGTCTCTCTCTTCGATCGCGGGTTGCCCTAAACTCGGGAGTATATGTACCATAAGAGGGTCGCTGAAATTCGGGGCTGTTCTCTTAGTGTTGTTTCGACAGTAGCCTGGGGTGCCTGTGAAGAGTCCTGTCTTGGGGTCGATGACATCCATCTCCTCAACCCATGAGTGTGCTGTGGTGGGAGCAACGAGGAGGACAAGTGCCGCCAGGGCAGCTGCCGCCGAAGAATACATTCTGATGTGTGAGTGGATTTTGGACTGAGGTCGTTGGTTGATATCTGAAGCACGGCCGGTGTGAGGCTGAAGGACGTGAGATCGTAGAATGCTAGTGAATTACGTTTTGGTGGAAGAGTATGTGAAAGATGTGGAAAGATGCTGATGATAAAGGAAGTGAGAGGTAGAAGAAAACAATTAAATATGAACAATAGGCACGGTCAACGTGCTGAATAGGATATCAAAGAACGAAAGTCATTGTCGTGAGGCGAGGCCTATTGTCGAAAATACTAAGTATTCACACGTTTTACAGTACAATGGAAGTCTGTTGAAGGTCAAGGAAGACAAAAGAGAATTGAAGTGAAAAGGGAATTATGAGTTCAATATCACGACGAGGCATGGAGAAGCAAGAATGCAGTGCTGCATCTGTTCACATGTATCGAGGGGTGAAATAGCATCTTGCCTTGACATGACTTGATGACAGCCAATGGTGATTCGAGTTTTAAACACCATCAAACTGTGGGTCTATTACGGGGAACTTTGAAACCTTTCGAAAGGACCCGTGGCGTCCATTGGGAGAGCAAGTCCCATAGCAAAGGCATGCGCTGCTATACTTGGTGAAGGAGACTGTTTTGCATCGATTGGGCAAGGCGCGTACTGAGTGGCAAGAAGCCGTAAACACCTCGACAGGCTTCTAGATTCAATTGTTCCGGGCACAAAGCTATTGTTTCAAGATCGTGCAAGAGATGTTTGGAGAAGCTACCAGTAAAGAAGTCATCGTCCTCAGGAGCAAGCTGTTGAGGCTCGCTATCCAGTGAAAATGTTGAGTCGCGTGGTCGCGTGGTGTCTCAGATTCGGCAGCGTTTCAAATTCTCTTGGCGCTTCCCCAGGCTAAAAATTGCGGGCGCCGAGAGCGCTACCACTCACCTCTCGAGTACACAAACAAGTCGAAACTGATTTCATGATTCCAAGTTCTTCGCCGACCACAGCTCTTCCAAGCAAACAGCTATTGCCCATCAAGATAAGCCTTTGTAGTCGGTCGAGGCCAGGTCATTTGCCTCTTGCTGGACGCTAGCACTGGCAGCTGATACTGCCTTTGTCTTGGGAACCCAGGTCTTGATGGCGGCCAATCCTAGTCGCTCTCAATACTTCACTTGCTCTCGGTTGAACGCTACCACCTTTGTGGTATACGAGAATGACAAATATGAAGAGCACCCCTTTATCTATGTCAAGATATATGATGACCCTCGCCTCGTTGTAATATCCGATACCGGCTGTGGAGGTGGTGACGAGGATCGAGAACATTATCACAACTTAAAGAAGTACATAGAGACTTGTCCAGCCGCGGCTAATGATGGGAAGCCGTTGAACCCCATTGAGGCCCGGAGAACATATTTTATCATTTGTACACATTGTCATTACGATCATATTCTTGGTCTCAAACACTTTCAGACCGCCTCTACGAGTATCCTTGCTTCCTCGTTCGATAGACATTTCATCGAAAAAAATCTTCCTGTGCATTCACTTTGTGAATTTCTTGACGTGCCCACTCCTGAGTACACTGTTTCATATTGGGCGGACGATCTCGACAAGCTCTCGTTCGACGGAAAACCACTCCATCTGCAGATTCTCCATACTCCGGGCCACACGCCAGATGAGCTGGCATGGTACGACGAGCAAGAGCGCCATCTATATGTCGGAGACTCGTTCTATGAGCGAGTAGCGAAAGACAACTCGTATGAACAGGCTATCATCTTCCCTAAAGAGGGAAATTGGGTCCACTACATGCAGTCTTTGGAGAAGCTACTCCGCTTCGTGGAAGAGAAGAATGAGGAACCAGGCAAAGCTACAATCAGGATTGGCTGTGGACATATTACATCCTCTGTGGACGGCGTGGAGATCTTGATAATTGTGCAGCAGCTTTTTCAGGACATCATAGCTGGCAAGGCGCCAATCGTGCATCTCGAGGAGAAGCGAGGGGAGGAATATGCGCTCTGGAAGGCAGATGGAGAGCCAAGGTTCTCTGTAGCGGCGCCCAAGAGACTTGCACTTGAGGCCACAAAAGCCTGATAGTGCACACGAATTCTTGGCACGAGAGTCGGCTTACATACGAATCGTCTGAAACTCTTAGTAACAGGACCCAAGCTGTCAGAAAGTGGTAGTCTTGGGTACTGGCTTCTCCAGATTGTGTACATCCGTAGGTATTAGAGCAAAGTTCTGGACAATCGAGGTGTAGAAGCAGTCTAGCATCTCCTTTTTAAGTCAACAATGAGCCTTTATAATCATGCTGATATTGTCAAGACTCAAACAATTCCCTACGCTTCACTCCTCTCGGGCCCTTTCTGCCGAAGATTACCCATCCCGCAATTGAAATGCGGAGAAAGCTGAGGTGGGTTTTCAGCATCCTTCATTGAGCGTGCACGATCCGCCATGAATGACGGTACGGATAGCAGATGGTGGCTCCACGTCGTTGAGCTCTGAAGAATATGGCAGCGCCGACATCTAGAGAGTACTTCAAGCCAGCTTTGCTGGTGGTGGACATGCAGGAAGACTTTTGCGGGCCTGTAGGTGTTCCCACCATGTACAAGTCGATGATATTCAGCAGGAGCTAAGCATTTTGGCAGAGTGGATCGTTAGCAGTGGAAGGTGGACGGGACATAGCACCGACAATCAACAGCCTCCTCTCTCTGCCGTTTGCCCTGAAGATAGCGACGAAGGACGCACATCCTCAAGGCCACGTCTCCTTTGCAATATCCCATCCCCCCCCAAACAACAAAGCCTTCGAGTCTGCTGTCAAGATCTCCAATCCGATGCGACGACGAAGGACAAGATCTGGAAGGGTGGGTGGAAGCAGTTGATATCTTTTCTCCTTTGTATAGAAATACGCCTGTCCGGTCTACGCCCACTGCGAAGGGAACTTGCGTCATGGGCTTGGGAGAGGATTCAGTATGTTTGATAGAATAGCCTTTTTTGTTTTCCATGTCGGTAACTCAACACTCGCTACCTCTAGTACTCATTCGGCCTAGTACATTGGTATATAAAGGCCTTTCCTGTACATAGAATTCTTCTTCTTCTTTAGACACAGACATCATTAAGACTACCACATCTAATGATAAGTCTCATTATAGCAGTAACTGCATACCCAGGTATTTATCAGACAGGACCCAATTTCACGAGATACCGCTTTGGCCGGTGCATTGTGTTCAAGGTACGAAGGGAGCCGAGATCATTCCAGAGATAGACGTATCAAAGTTGGATGAAGTGGTTGAGAAGGGGAAGGATAGCGGGTTAGAGATGTTCTCTGGTTTTGCGGATATTTTCGGAAGCAAATCACCGGAGGCAGCCTCGCAAGATCTTGCCGGATTGCTTCACTGCGCTGGAATAACAACGGTCTTCGCCGTGGGCTTGGCAGGAGATTATTGTGTCAAATGTACGGCTCTTGATGCAAAGAAAGAGGGATTCGAGGTCTATGTGGTCAAGGAAGCCACGAGAAGTGTGGATGCTGGCGAGAATGGGTGGGGCAAAGCCACAAAGGAGATGAGGGAGGCTAGGATCGAGATCATCAGCGTCGAAGGTCCGGAAATGGCGAGAGTCAAGAGCTTGAAGTGAGCAATACTCAGTAATACTGGACACGCTGTCTTTGATCATCCAGAACTGTCTACGGAGCTTATTCCGCCAGCAGAGAATCATCTTTCAAGCACTGGAATTTTCGGAGCTTATTCGGTGGACAAGTTGAAGATGCTGTGTTTGAGAGGAGTGGACCTCAGCATCTTTGCATTTTTCCTGCATTAGGGCTACAACAGTATCTGCATCATTACATGGAACCGGTGTTTATAGTGGATGAACTCCGGCTCTTACCATCTATGGACTCGTTTACTAGCGCGGTTCCAGCAAGAGATCTACCTTTGCCGGCCGTCGTCATGCATCTCGCTGCGACGCGCTTTTAACAACCTCACAACAATTTCCAAAATCTACCAACAAGCTCCTACGCAACCAATTCGAATTCGTCGCCATGGTTTCATCAAAGGGAAAGCCTACAGACCCTAAGCTTCGCGAGGAGGCCAAGGAAGGTATGTAAATACACCTTACTATGCGCCCAGAAATTACAGTGTTACACTCTCCTGTCCAGCTAACGCACCATTATCTGTAGATGTCAAGCAGATGCCAAACAAGGATGGAGGTGGAAAGGGTCACATGGCTGGATGGAAGGTCAGTCCTCGCTTCGAAGCTCTATCCTGCGCCGCTGCATCGCGTACCACCATGTGCCACTATCTTCTATCCGTGCAGCGCAGCATCTATTGGAGTCCAAGTAACTGACGCGTCTGTCAATCACAGGCTGGCAAAATCTCCGAAGAGTACGAAAAGCGCGGCGGCGGCTACGAGAATGAAGCAGGATCCAAGAACGAGCCAACCAAAGGCGCTCCGACCCCCAAATCCGACGCGAAGAAAGATGCCGAAGTGAAGGAGAATGGCGAAGAGAAGAGCGAGGAGAAGGAGAAAGAGAAGCCAAAGGCCAACAGTGGCAAGAAGGCAACCGGCACCAAGAAAGCTGAGCCAAAGGCCAAAGCTCCCAAGAAAGAGAAGAAGCCACCTGCAGAGGGAACAAGGAAGAGCTCTCGCGTTGCCGCCACTGCTGGCACCAAGCGTAGCGCGCCGGAGGACGACGACGACGACGGTGAGGAGGAAGAGAAGAAGGAGAAGAAAAAGGCACCAGCGAAGAAGGCCAAGACTTCTGCTAAGAAGTGAAGCCACTTCTTCCTTCATCGACAAGTTGGTGCTGGCGGTGTCCGTGCGGTGAATACCCTTTCGAGAATGGACGCTTTTTTGTATACTCAAACCGTGGAGAGTGATTAGATACCTCATCCAAATTCCGCAGCTTCAAGCAACTGAGGCCTAGACCATTTGTGTTAGCTATCCAGTCTCCTTCCGTTCTTAATGTCTCGCGCTCGAATTACTTGAACATCCAGTCCCACCTTTCCTTGGTTTTCTGAATACACGCGACTGGCGATAGCCGACATTCACGAAGTCGCTGCCTCCCGGTTCTACGTGTCTCCTTTGTTGCCAACTTTTCCACACCCTCACAATGCTTTTCCCGTTTTGGAGGTGTTGGTGTATTCTAGCCACCGGCCATCAAGTCCTTGCACAGGTCATAGTTGACACAAACGCCACGAACGCAACCGAACCTGTCCTTGCAACGAACACCACAACCTCCCGCCTCCTCCTCCAGTACTACGGAACCGACGACGCAACAACAAGCGGCAGGTACCAAATCCTCCTCTGCGGCGCCGGCCAAACCGACTCCAAAGCCGCCAAGCTCCAAGCTCTCCTCCCCCTGATCTGGCAGAATCTCCAGGTAGCAATCCAAGACGTCAAGAAAGGCACCACATCCCAGCACGGCTACACCGCCTTCTTCAAAACCGACACCAACCAAGCGGCCGTGACGGACCTTTTCCACAAAATCTCCGCCGGCGACCCCGTCCCCGTATCCGCCGACCGAGCCACGCGCCTGGGATCACCGACGGCGTCCCCAACCTTCGCCTGCATGGAAGAAGGAGACGCCTTCACAGCGCACCTCTACGCCGAATGCCTCGCCCGAAACACGGGGACGATATCCGCAACCCTGATGACATGGGGCGCGACGGAGATCATCTTCATCTGCCCCTCCTTCTGGGCCCTCCCCGCCGGGCTCACGCGGGCCAGCTGCCCACGCGTCGTCGACAACAGGGCCAGTCCGGACGACGCGGCGCTGATCCGGAGCATGTACGGCTCGGTCGTGCACATGTTGGCGCACGTGTATGTGCCCGAGTCGTTGGATTACGGGAACAGTGTCGTGCAGGAGGTGGATGGTGTGCAGGCTGCCATTGAGCTGAACGCGACGGAGAGTCTGGTGACTGCGAGTAATTATGCGTTTTACGCTGCCGGTGAGTAGGCGCTGTCATCTTTTCATTCTCACGCCCACGTCTGTTTGAATGGATGGTGTGGGTCAGTGTCTGACTCGGATTTTAGCAATTCAAGCTGGGTGTACGGATTGGCCTATCGTGCCTCAATGTGAAGCTGAGGGTATCTGTGCCTGGCCATCATCATAGCAAGGTGCAAGTATAAGTCCGGTTCGATAGCAGAGGTTTGGGTTGCAGACGCAAAAATGTCGGCTCGAAAGCGAGACGGCGATTAGGAATGGAACTGGCTGATGAAGACATATTTGAGTTGGCATGTATTTACCTTTCTATAACCAAGTCAATATTATGAGACACATTGAGAAACAAAGACGACTGCTGTTCTCTGGGAAAGTAAGAATAGAAGATCTCTTACTTTCTGGTTCTTCGCCCAGTACAACGGTGACTGTAGAGAGGGGAAGTGGATTTTGGTGGTCAATTTGATCAATATGTTGGTACTTGCTAAGCAAGGGATTTGATATGGTGTTGATGATGGGGTGGGCTGAAGGATGGGGGCCTGTAAGCATCAACGCATGGAGAAAGAATCAAGATCCTCGGGTCCATGCTTTCAAATTTCTCATTTATCCTGGGTATCGAACGCCATAAGAATGCCCATACCTTGGCGAGAACCCCCATGAACTCGCCTATGCCCTTATCAAGGCACCGAAGCACTCGTCTTGCCAGAAGCCCCAGGGCTCCCAGAAGCAGCCTTTCCCTCCTCCTCTGGAACCACGATTCTGACCTTCTTACCACCACTCATACTCCTCCCCGCGGCTCCCAAACCCATTGTCCCTGGTCTCTTGCCCCTAGAGCTTCCGCCAACCATGGCTCTAGCCCCTCGGACAGCTCCACTCTCAGCTGCATATCGCTCATCTTTGCTCACACTCTCTGCCTTCCTGCCCCGTTCCTTTTTCTCCACGATTACGTCTCTCCTTGTTCCTGGCACACAGTCACACAGGCACCCTATAGTCGGACAGGCACCCTCACTCATTGGATCGCCCCACCAAACCCGTAGACAGTCCGCATGCCCGCCGTGCCCACACTCCTGGCACCATCCCCACGAGGCATCTTTCTTTTGCGGTTTACCACAATCCGCAGGTTCCTGCGTATGCCGTCTGGACGATCCAAGACCTTCCCCAAAGCAGATGGGACATTCAGCCCAATGTTGTTGGCAGCGCTCGCAATAATTCGGGATTATACCTTTGTTTGGCTTTTGACAGATGGTACACCATGGCCCGCCTGAAGCGATGTGGTAGAAACCCTTATCTACGACGTCTGGATAGTCGGGATCGCAGAGGTTGAGAAGCGCGTCAGCTTCGACGAAGAGCTGATGGGTGACAAGTTGCTCATGATATTGTAGTAGGATCAAGTTGCAGCGTTCGAAAGGAATAGAATGATTTAGATATGGTGCAAGGTGAAGGACAAGATAAGCAGGAAATTGTGCATTGTGCAGCTTAAGGGTGTAATAATCGATGATCTCCTCGAATATGGCTGTTGCTGTCCATGGATGTAGAATGGGCGACCTCTGCTTGGGACGATCGAAATCCGAAAGGATATAGTAATCAGGTTTATTTGGCAACCCCTTTGTTGTGGGAGGGTCAAGGGCCCACTGGCCAAGGCCATTGGTCTCCATGTCTTCGTGATGGACCAATGCGGCTGTATTGCTAGGGCGGTAGCTCGATATCAGTGTAGCAGGCGGAAAGTGCTGCACGGGTGGGTTCTTGGAATGGTGTGGAGAGGCTGGAGAAGATGCTGGAGAGCGTAGGCTTGTTTCATCCTCGAACACCAATGCACTTTCCTCGTGACTTGGGCTATCTTGATAGACTCGGTCCTTGGGAGCATTCAAACGTTCGGGAGTAGATGAGGCCTTCTCGGATCCTGGATTGCTTTCAAAAGACCCCATGGTTGATTGAGCACGGTTCGAACTGTCAGTTGAAGCCGAAAACAGCTGAAAGCTTTCGTTCGAGTCGTGGCGATTAATACTAGCGCCTGAGCTCGGCCCGTTCATCTGGAACGGATCATCAAGTCTGAGTAATGGACGGGGTATCGCCCTATAATTCTCCATGGCAGCGCGACGTTCGGTCATTTGCCGGTCAATTTCGCCAAAATCAGCCCTTGGAGATGTTTGGTAAGTCTTTGATAGACGCTCGTTCTCAGGTTCACAAAGAGCTGTTGCCCCTCCAGATCTCTCTAGGCCGCTGTCCTTGCCTACGGCGTGATTTTCAGGGCTGGTCATCTTCGCCAGCTGTGATACGCCTGTGACTGGTCTCAAGGGCTGCTTGCTCCATAAGGCATCAGAAAGCTGAAGAGACTCGACATTCGCCGAAAAGTTCGACCCAGGTAGAGCATCGGGTTGTGGTCTGGCGAGAGGCGTGGTCATATTGGAGGCATCATCAAGAGCTGTGGAGGCCTTGTTTCTCGATCGCAGCTTTCCTTCAATCGAAATCGACATCTGACTCTCCTGGTCTTCGTTCGTGTAGCCATCATTGTTACTCGTCGACTGGAAAGACGCTCGCTTCATCGAACTTGAAAGCGATGCCGCATTGAGACGCTTCCGGCGATTTTCATCTGCTCTCTCGCCCAGTTCGCTTTCCGTTGCTTTCGCCACCACGTTCCAGGTTCCAGAAAGTTGATACTCGCCTACTTGTGCAGCAATCTCCCCGTTGGAGCGTAAAGCATAAGCAAGTTCGTGATGTCTATTGCATCTTGAATCGTCGGTCGGTGGTGGTGGTGGAATGTGATATTCGCGTGCATAGACCTTGAACGTATCGTGATAAGAGAGACCTTCAATCCGCCCAATGCCAGCTGCTTGGGCTGAGTGAGACATCTCCTTTTCGTGTAGGCTTATGTCCAATTTCTGAATTGGTCCACCAGAGCCCGCAGATGGGGGCGTACCTGCTAATGATTTCATTGACCTCGAGGGGCCTGGATGCTTACGTTGCCGGTTCTTGAACGATGAGCTGAGTAAAGTTGGTTCCTCTGAGCTACCGTGCGTTGTGCCGTGGTTGCTGGGGACCTTCTCGCTTCCACTACTTCGTCGTTGATCCCGTTGATTAAAGTCGTCAAGCATATCCTTTATTGATGCTCGCCTTCGCTCCCTTTTCTGCAGGAAAAACAAGACCCGGCCATCTGGAGCGATATCAACAGTGTTTGAACTTCGTCTATCGGATGTCTTTGTTGCAAAATTAATGTCTGTTTGTGTGAACATGCCAGCTGATCCCACAGACCAAAGCAAGCTCTCCGATTTCCAAAGAAGCGCAGTTGCAGGGGTATCATAACGATTCACTTCGCGAAAAGGTATATATGGCCGCCGGAAGTCCCAGATATGTATCTTTGTTTCCTGTTGATCATATGATGTTGCTATTTGTGTGCATTGCCACTGGGCAGGATCTTCTTTATCGGAAGACCAACAAGCTGGCCTCCAACGGACATTGACGACGGCTTGAGGAGCACGAATCTGCCATAGGTGTTTCATTCTACGGTCTGACGAGGAAAAGTCCCAGACCTTTATATTTTTGTCTGCTCCTCCACTTGCAATATGCTTTCCATCCGGGTGCCAGTCAATTGCATTGCAGGTTTTCTCATGGGCGTTTATTTTGAGGAGCGGAGCATTGTCCCTGCGGATGTCCCAACGCTGGATAGTACCATTATCGGTCCCAATGGCAAATTCCACCCCATTTGTGGGGGACCATCTCAAATCACGTATACCATCGCTGTTTCCTGAAAATTTATTGAGACTCTGGCAAGTCATTACACTTCTTTCTCCAGCAAGTTTCCGTAAATCCCATAAGCGCACAGTCGAGTCTTGGCTCCCAGAGAGCATGAGCTGGGGTGCGTGCGGATTAAAGCCTAACCTATGCACTTGTCTACTGTGCTCGTGTAGACGAGCAATCTCCACACCTGGCCGGCTGATGTCATAGACCACGATATTTCCATTGGCAGCAGCCGTAGCGATGGTGGTGCCGAAATTCCCGTGGGACCATTTTACATCCTGTGCTGCCAATCGATCTCTGTGTCTTGCAGATATTGCACCTGCGGAGGTCTCGTGGGTCGTTGCGTAAGCGATTATATTGGTTCGAAGGTTGAAGTCTTCTGCACAGGTGAAATCCTCGACCTGGATGGTTTTGAGAATGTCCCGCCCTGCCAAGACAGCATGTGTTCGACCCGGGGAGATGTCAAGAGCGGCGATTGGAATGCCTGTCTTATGTTGTGTTTTTCTTTCTGATGTTGGGCTACGAGGATCGTTAGTGGGAGATTCTTGATGTCCTTGGGGGACCTGGGGGACCTTGGGGGTTTGGAACAACGAACGCAAAAGCGACGGGGCTTCCCACCTTGTGCTTGTCTGCCCACTCAACCGGGATGGTTGGGAGTCCGTACTCCGTAGGTATTCCACGGCTGTCGAGGGTCGAGGGCCATAGCGGAAGGGATGTGCGAGGCGTGCAAGAGTATTCGCTGCGAATCCATATCGCTGCGGGGGAAGGGGTGGCGGCGATGGAGGTGACGGGGATTTTTCATCTTGGAGCGGATTTTTGGACATTGAGTATCACGCTGAGCCTGCTCTGTACTCGATGATGATTGGGACAGCCCGAAGGCCCCACCATCTAAAGGAGCGGTCAGGGAGCACGTATAGGACAGGATTCTTTCACTCATTTGAGATAACGAGGCTTGCATACAGTCTAGAGAATGCAACGGTTCGACGACGACGTTGAAGAAGCTGAGAGGTCCAGACGACGCCTTTCACAGCTCCCGGTGCATTGTGGTGCAGAGTGGTGCAGTAGATTGATCTCGAAAACGGGCTTGGCGGCATGTTGGCTGACGGTTTAGGCGTTGGGCCTTGGCTCCTTCTGGGCAGCCGACGAGCGGGTTGTGCTCGTACGGCGACCCTAAAGGCAGCATTAAGGCCCCTGCCTAAGCTGCCTAAGCGATCATTGGCAGAGCACCTAATCTACCGGCAACCGGGGACCAGGGACTTTTGACTCTAAGCAGGTGTTACAGGCATTCTGCAGTGCTTCTGCAGGCTTGTTTACGCCTCACAACGTTTAAATTGATAGACTACTCTTGAGTCTTACAGTATTAGCCTCTTGGGCCACTCTTCAGCGGGAAGGATCTAAATCTTCCTTACCTTAACTTCTAATAAATAAGCATCTCGGATGAACATGTTTTAATATATGCAGCAGCTCCTCACAAAGACCTCACGCGACTATCACACTTTTCCTTTTCGCCACGCCCATCCCTCTTCCCCTTCCCTGTTCCCCTTCCCCTTCCCTCTCATATCCCAATTCAGCAAGCATATCATCATGGCCTCTACTTAATATCTCTTACTCTTTACCGGTGCTGGCGTTCAGGTGCCTTCAAGTCTTTCGTTACCCAGCATGACCTCTTCAACAACCATTATCACCATGGCTCAAGAGATCATGGTCTATACCCATTATGCCTCTCCTATCATTCTCCTTGTCTTCTTCCTCGTCGCTTTCACCGCTCACAGCATCTTAACCGCTTCCAAGGAGGATGTCGTCCAACCGGAAACGGGCCAGACTGGACCGGGGGGCAAGCCGTTACCACGGAACAGCTCACCGACTGCTAAAGCCGCGCGGGAGAAGAAGGCACTGGACTTCAGTCCATCTCGAAAGCTACTTTTCACCTGGCTCTCCGCTGGTGTCGTGCTCACCTTCCTCGGGAATGCCGTAACCGTGATTGTGCATGCACTGTTGGACAGGAAAGATAATTGGTGGTGCGGCCAAGCCGTTGTGGTATGTGAGATTATACTCCTGCTTCACCGGTGGACCTTGACTGATGTGCGGCCTCCAGATCTATGTAGTTGCCTCATTCTTTGCATACTCTCTTCTCTTGATATCGATTGTCGACACAAAGCCGGCTCCAACGGGTGCTCATCTCTCTACATGGATCGTGGCATCCATCCTAGAAATCATACTCCTCGGCGCTTCTTTGGCACTGTATACTTCCGACCACCGTGAGCCCAAAGCAGGTAGTGGTAGGGACGGCCAATTCAGGACAGGGGTGACCACATATGAAGCTGTTGAGGTCCTCATCGATCTTTTGCGAATACTATTCCTGGGTGCCCTGATATTCTTTTACGTTCTCTTTGTCACCCTTCGATGGGCAAAGTTGAGAGAGAAGCGTCATGCAGCAAACGGAAATCTGCCCGAGACAACCGGTCTTCTCAATGGTCATCAGGCAGAATATGGCACAGTCAATGGTCAAACTTACGGTAGCATTCATCCAGACCACGCCAAAGAAGAAGAGCCGGGCTGGGTGAGGCCAACGAAAGTACCGACGAAGAGTTGGTGGGAATACATTCGTGGATACTCTCTTTTCTTCCCTTACCTCTGGCCTGCGAAGTCGCGCCGACTGCAAGGCATTGTTATCGTCTGCTTCGTGATTGTCATGATACAAAGAGCCGTCAATCTATTGGTTCCAATACAGGCAGGTCGCGTTACCAATACTCTCGCAGGCGAAAATGGGGCTCCTTCTAGTGTTCCTTGGGGCCAGATCTGTCTTTACATCTTCTACAGGTTTCTCCAGGGAGGCAGTGGAGTACTTGGCGCCGCTCGATCGGTGATGTGGATACCTATTGAACAATACTCCTACCGTGAGCTCTCGACTGCGTCATTTGAGCACGTCCATGGGCTTAGCTTGGACTTCCATTTGGGCAAGAAGACTGGAGAAGTAATATCAGCTATGAGTAAGGGCCAGTCGATCAACACGTTCCTTGAACAAGTGACATTCCAGCTGCTGCCGATGCTGGTTGACCTCGCCGTCGCTTTCGGCTATTTTCTCTACGCCGTCGATGCCTATTACGCTCTGGTAGTGGCGATCGTAACATGTGCATACTTGTACATCACCATCCGTTTGGCACAATGGCGTGCAGACCTTCGAAGGGAGTATGTCAACCTTGATCGCCAAGAGGATGCTGTCAAGTAAGTTTAATGGCGAAATTTATCGTTGGATTTTCTAACACATTCATTGCAAGGAATGACTCGATGGTCTCTTACGAAACCGTCAAGTACTTCAATGCAGAGACCTACGAGTTCCAACGCTACCGTAACGCCGTCAACAAGACCCAGCAAGCGCAGTGGAAGGTTGCAACTACACTCAACATCATGAACATCTCTCAGAATGTTGTGTTCACCTTGGGCTTGATGATCGTTTGCTTCATTGCTGCCTATCAAGTCACCAGCGGCCAACAAAATGTGGGCCTCTTCGTCTTAGTTCTAACCTACATGGCCCAACTCCAAGCACCACTGAACTTTCTGGGCACATTCTACCGCTCCATCCAACAATCGATGATCAATGCTGAGCGTATGCTTGAGCTCTTCAAAGAGCGTCCTACCGTCATAGACGAGCCTACTGCAGAAGAATTGCCGAGCTGCCAAGGGGAAATCCGCTACAATGATGTCAACTTTGCGTACGATCCTCGGAAGCCTGCATTGAAAGGGCTGAGCTTCCGATGCGCTCCAGGCACTACTACAGCACTAGTGGGAGAGTCAGGAGGGGGCAAATCAACAGTGTTCCGTTTGCTCTACCGCTTCTACAACCTTGGTGGAGGAAGCATCCAAGTCGATGGGCATGATGTCAAAGATATTACGATCGATTCTTTGCGACGTCACATTGGTGTTGTACCACAGGATACTGTGCTCTTCAACGAAAGCCTCATGTACAACCTCAAGTATGCGAACGTCAATGCTACAGATGAAGAGGTCTTCGAGGCCTGTCGTGCGGCGAGCATTCATGAAAAGATCTTGAACTTTCCTGATGGCTACGATTCCCGTGTCGGAGAACGCGGACTCAAGCTGTCTGGGGGCGAGAAACAACGCGTTGCCATCGCCAGGACCATACTCAAGAATCCACGTATTATTCTCCTTGACGAAGCAACCGCTGCTCTCGACACCGAGACCGAACAGAACATTCAGACTGCGTTAGACAAGCTTTCTCAAGGCCGTACTACACTCGTAATTGCTCATCGCCTCTCAACCATTACCACCGCAGATCAAATCATGGTCCTCCACGCGGGCAAGGTCGCTGAGAGTGGTACACACTCTGACCTCCTGAAGGTTAATGGGCGATACGCGAGTATGTGGCGCAAGCAAATTCGTGCGCAGAGAGTCGCCGAGGAAGCCCAAGACCTTGCCGATAGAGCAGAGAAACTCCGCAAGGAAGCCAGAGGCGATGAGAGCGCTAGCCAATCCGAGGATGAGAGAAGTGGAGGGAATACACGTGGACGGACAGCACAGGGAAGTTCGAAGCCGGGCTCTCGCTATGAGGACGATGGTATGCCTCATGGTCATCCTTGACGTATAGAAGCTGTTAGCGATGCTCGAGGAAATAATTCGGTCAGTACATACATGCATTCAACTAAAATAAAAGCGAGGTTTCGGAGCTAGGGTTATGACTTGACGATGCAACGGCTCATGGTGTTAGCTCTTATCAGAGAGCACAAAAGGGAGCAGTAATTCTTTAATGCTGATTGGTGCGAGCGGTGAAGTCAAGATTTCGTCTGCAGCTTTACAAGCTGACGGGTAATTAAGGAGGAAGATACTTCAATGGCTGTCAATGTCTCAGATAATCCGAGGTCTCCTTTTCCATTGATGAGGGACAGGCCAAGGGCTGTGGATGGTCTAGTTGGAAAAATTCCAATTCATAAATGAGGTAGATGCTCATGGATGGCTCATGTTACATAGATGAAAAGATTCTCAGCCACATGCATTGCTGATGAAGACGTGAGAACCCTCAGATGATCGTTCTTGACGGAGCAACGAGATACTTGAAATTTGCGCGAGGCATCGGAGTCCAAGCTCCGAACCAGCGGAGAGCATTAACCTCTATTAATAATTGACAAGTACAGAACAAACGCCAAACTCCAGTAGCCGAATCCTCCCGCCATCAACGAAACTCCCATATTACCACCACCGCGGGAAATAATCCCCCATACCCATCTACCACCGTCCTAGGATCCCGAGCCTCCCCCCCCCTCGCCCACCTCCCAGCTCGAATCTCCACCATCCCAAGCGTTCCAGAACGCCAGTCGGACTCCCGCGCATCCCCCTCGTCGGAACCGGCCGACGACGGCCTAGACCCCGCGCTGCCTCGGACCGGTCGACCGATCTCGAGCGCAGGGTCCCAGGCTCGGAGCTTCCTACAGCTTGACGGACTTGCGGACAGCGGCGGCGCGAGCGGGCGCGGCGCGGTCGGCCGCGCGGGCTGCTCTGCTGCGGTGGGGAGGGGGTGAAGGGGCCGCCTTCTTGGGGGCTGTGGCTTTCTGGATGGCTTTGGGGGCGGTCTTGGTCGGTGGGGCCCTCTTGCCGGCCTTGCCCTTGCTCTTGCTGCTCTTTTTTGGCAGGGGGGTTTGCTCCTGGTCTAGCTTGGTGGAGGTGAAGATGCCCTTGTTGGTGCGCGGGCTGACTCTCTTGAGCTCTGGGGATACGGTGGCCTTCATGGTGATGGGTGAGGATGGGGCTGGGGTTGGCGTTGGCGTTGGCGTTGGTGTTCTGGATGTGAGTTTTGCGAAGGGGTGGGTTGCGAGTGCGATGAGTTGGTGGGAAATGATTTTTCGATGCTGGTTGCGTCGCCTTTTTGATTCTGGGGTTGTCGAGAAGACGCACGCGGAGGCAGGCTTTGTATCCGATTTCCGTGTGCCGAACGCTTTGTTGGAGATTGAGATCTTTGAGGGAAGCGTTGAACACCAGAGACAACGCTGTGAAATCTTTTTGTTTTTCCTCCGGATGCGGCGACCTTTCAGCAATGCACCTTGAGGGAATCTTTGACCAATGGACTAGTTTGAGACTCAGGATTGATAATCTGGATAGCTTTGTTCACCAAACGCGTCACTATACTAAGACTTGTCCCGCGAAAATTCAATGGTGATCGCAAGCTCTTCAGGAAACATTGAAGGGTACCACAAAGCAGCATCATATGACTGCCTGGGCTTGTATACCAAGAAATGGTGGGCTTGATCTTTTTGATGCGTTTTGTGTGTTGGCGCTGCTCTGCGAGACTATGAGCGATAACGAACGTTAGTCAAAGACTGTGCACTTCGTCAGATGGTGGCTGAGACTACAGAGCATATTCCATGACTTCTTCTGCCGTAGTCTTTGATCTTACCGAACCAGATCAAAGACCTGTCTCGCCTGTTCTGAGCCTGGAGCGCAGAACAAAGCGGCCTGGTTCGGCGTGAAACCAGGCTCCAAGGAGAAAAACAACATTGAGGAAAGCATTGTAAAACTTGCTCTTGATGAAAACATGGTTGGCAATCTTATTGTGAGACTTATTACGATTGTCACGAGTTCATTGGGCATAATCACCGCTTCTTACTTCGTGAGCACGTCAGTGAGAGAGGGCAAAGTAGATTCTCGGGCATGCACACGATTCCTTGATGCGCTCTCTCCGCAACGTTTTGATTGACAAAGCCGAAAGTTTCATCGTTTACTTCCGATGGGTAGTGGTGACGCCGATTTAGATACCGGTGCTAGCGACACCGTGACCTAGGATCTGGGGTGGTGTAAGGAGGATGTGGCTGTTGTTTGGTGGAGGTCGAGGGGCATGGAAGCCGTCCATTCGCTTTAAATCAGCACCTCACCATCCTTTGGTGTGGAAGGGAGTTGCCGGATCTCTCGCGGTGCGCGAGGAGTGGCAGTGACGACTGCGGTATGGATGGTCATGATGGATCATGAAAGTTCTGTGAGGCTGTATCGCAGAATTTTGGTCGCCTTTGCTATCGTTGTATAGTCAATCGCATGTGTGTGGGTGTCATGGAAAAGGGTGTATTGGATTGTTCAGCGTGCACACTCTCCTGTCAATGCATTGCAGAAGGTGTCTCCTTGCTTAATTCTCTCAGGGCTCGGAGGGGTTCTTCAGTCACGATCGGCCTTTGAAATTAGAATGAGCATCGAGCATCTCCGCACTCTAGCCTATAGTAAAAGCAAGCGACAGGGTTTTATGGAAATCAATACTGAATCTGCATGAAATCATTTCCTTGCCGGTACATACATGCGATCAACCTACGTTCATCTTTAACACAAAAGATTCACCCAAAGATCAGACATAACAGCTTTCTCTTGAGGACGGGTCCCCTGCTCGTCACAAGCACCACAAGCGTCCTGTCAGCTTTGTTTGGTCAGCAAGTTCGAGGTGTCGGTGCGTGGGAGGTCTGAAACGCCACTTTCGGTCCTCGTCAAATATCCTCATTGCAGGTCTGAGTATTAGAGAAGTACGAATCCGATGGGTTGTTGTAGGAGCAAGAATAGAGAAGGGTATTTGGATCGCTGACGCTCCCCTCACTCGTAGCCTCGTCGCTCATCCTACGCGCTAAGCGCGGCAAAGTGTATCTCCAACATCATATTCTCCATCCTTCTCTACCATCCTCTGGGAGATGAGCCTCTCCAATCCTTCCGCTCCGAAATGAATGAGCGGGCGTAGCAGAAATCTGCTTACTGCCACCAGATTATCAAAAGAACGCAGTGACTCATTTGTCCACGCTCTTCTTCAACACAAACACAGCCTTCCTGCCGTCGCTGACTCTTGGAAGCTTGCAACTATTGCGGATTCGAGAGACGCTAGATAACACAGGCATCTCGCAATAATTCAATGGCAAGCCATTTCCAGCCACGATGACAGTGGTATCTGTAGTATGAATGTGAAACCTGCGACTACCTGCCGCCTTGACCTGCGGCTTAGCTGGGGGAGCAAATCGAGCCTTCTTAAGAACTGGTAATCAGCTTGCTTCTTCCACATGTCCCCAAGGTGTTGTGATGCAGTGTGAGCCATCTGAATCAGATCTCATTGTTCGCATTGTTTCGCCTCGACTGTAGGGAAGAATCTCGAAGATGCTATCGTTACTATGACAATCATTAGTACAGCTCTGGTGGAGATGCTGAAATTCTCCATCTTGCAATGTTACTTCTTAAAATTTCATCGTCTCCTTAGCATATAGTTGCTGCTCTTCTCATTTGTTTGACTGGCTTTCGTCATATCGTCGAGACATTGAGGTGAGGGGAATCTTTCGGACTTTGTAATTCGGTACACCTGCTTTCCTCCGCCACATCAAAACATTTACACAGTAACAGTCGAGATGGACAGTACACCGGAACGATCCCAGGTTTGTCCGCTAATCAGAGCTAGTCATCAGCTTGAACTTCCAAAACCTGGGAAGACCGTTGTCTGGAAACCTCACACCAGTGGTTCACTCCTCCCAGGCTTCACGTCACCCAGAGGCAATCATCTGATACACCACAGGGTCTCATAGAGACTATGTACCAACAGAAAATCCTCACGGATGTGCTTCTAGTCAAATACCCACATCTTCTCAGAAGCATTGCAGGGCTTCATGTCGTCTGCATTTAAAAGAAATCTTTCTCACTCACTTCGATGCACCTCTGGATGTGTCAACAGTCCAGTCGTATTGAACATTTGCGGAGTAGAAGCCGAGGAGGGAGGTCGTTTTCATTCATGGTAAAACACGGAGGAAGTTCCTGCAGTGGTCATGTTGGACAAAGCCTTCGTCATTACGGGCTATGCCAACGCAACAGTGGCCTACTCCCTTATGGGTGAGATTTTAGGGGAATGGACATGCCAAGGGATCTGATTAGAAAGGTGGAGGAAGTTCCAAAAGCCGCCGGAAAAGCGCAGATTGTGGGTTTCTCCGAGTCCCCTTGACTATATAACAGACGAGAGCTGACTTCCATGATGGCACCTCGACGTTGAGATAGGAACGAAAGCCGAGCTCGTGTTTCCGAATTTTGGCTACTCCAAGATGTGTCCAGCGGCGCAATGTACTTTGGTGAGACATTGAACGATTCCTCAGACTCTGGTGGAGAATTACACAACATGCGCCGATAGGAAAATAGAACCAATGGCACGATTGCGCAAGGCTTTGGGTGCGAATGACGCGCTTGTGCTATGAAGTCTCACTCCACCAGAGGAGAGGGGCCAGAATTTGACATCCTAGCATCAAGCGGCACCTTATCGATAAAAGTGGAGCACGGTTAGACACGGCTCTTTTCAATCGTTACTTCCTTCCTTTGATCACTCTCTTAGAAAAGATAAGGGTGGACAGTCAGCATAAATTGGGATCATGTTCCTCATATACTCCCCGTGAATCTACTAAAGCCAAACACTTTCCACTTTCTGCTCTTACACTTCTCTATACTCATTCTTACCAAGAATGCTAAAATCACAGCAGCCCCTTCGGCTTCTTCAACGTGGCACTAAACCCCCTCACCTCAATCGCACCCAGTACCGCTCTCTCCACACTGATCAGTCGCACCGGACCATCAGTACAACTGCCTCCACAGATCAGGACACCTATGCTGCCACTCCTGCTGTAACGCCGACTCTGCCCACCATATCACAGCCCTCACGACCGCTATCCGTCCTTCCATTACCCATCCTCCTCCGCTCATACGCCCTTACAGCTCTTTCTTCCTATCCGCTACTCCTATCGCCCTCCCTTCGTCTCCTCTCATTCGTCGCCCACTCCTCGTCCGCACTCCTGAACCCAGACCGCAATCCTCTCCTCCACTACCTCCTCAAGAAGACATTCTACGCCCAATTCTGTGCTGGTGAGACGAAGATTGAGGTACAGAAGACGGTGAAGGGGCTTAAGAGTATGGGATATAACGGCGTCATCTTAGCATACGGCAAAGAGATCGTGCTCAACAAAGGGGAGAAGGTTGACACATCCTCAAGCCAATCAGCAGATCCCACAGCCGAGAGGGATGTGCAAGATTGGAAAGAAGGTACCTTGAAGACCGTGCAGATGGCTGAAGAAGGCGATATGATTGGCCTGAAATTCTCCGGGGCTGGAAGAGACGCCATGAGGCAACTTGCTGCTGAGGCATCACCTAGCGAAGCGATTGAGAAGGCGACAACCGAGATATGTGACCTTGCACAGGCAAGAGGTGTTCGCTTACTTTTTGATGCGGAGCAAGACGCTGTTCAGCGCGGTATCGATGCTTGGACGCTTGAATTCGCGAGAAGGTATAACAGGATGGCTCTAGGAAAAGCGGTTGTGTACGGGACATACCAGGCTTACTTACGCTCCACGCCAAAAATCCTGGCTCAACATCTTGCTGTTGCCAAGCAAGAAGGTTTTACGTTGGGTGTAAAGCTCGTCAGGGGCGCTTATATGAGCAGCGATCCTCGAACACTTTTCTGGAGTACAAAAGAGGAAACCGACAAGGCTTACAATGGCGTTACAGAGGCTTTGCTCAAGAAGCGGTGGAACAATGTTCTGCGACCGTCGACCAGGGAAGCAAGTGAGAGAATATCGTCAGAAGTGGCCTTTGTGCTGGCAAGTCATAATCATGATTCCGTGCAAAAAGCCATGGCAATCCAGAGAGAGCAAACCGAAAAGCATGAAGCGAAGATCGATATGGCTTACGGGCAGCTGATGGGTATGGCAGATGAGGTTAGCTGCGAGTTGGTGATGGCTGCGAAGGCGGCAGGGGTGGTGCCATCTGAGAAGACGGAGTGTGCGGGTCCCAAGACCTATAAGTATCTGGTGTGGGGCTCTGTGGGCGAGTGTCTCAAGTATCTGATCAGACGGGCTGAGGAAAATAGGGATGCTGTGGTGAGGGCAAAGGGCACAAGAATGGCGCTGAGGATGGAGCTGGGGAGGAGGATTTGGGGTTGACGCCACTCACACAAACAAAAATCAGCAATCAGCAATCAGTAACCGGGAATCGGCAATCGGCACTTGGAACAATGACATTCATCAGTGAACAAACTTCAGACTCCTGGTGTCTAACACGTGAACGCTGCAACGATACAGGGAAGCTATAAACACTGTGAATCTACAGTATGAAAGTGACACAAATGCTTGGCACAATGATTTCTCAAAGAGGGCTTCACTGTAAAGAGTGACAACACAGTGGACGACCTTGCTATATAAATATGTTCGCCTTCCAGCTGTCTTCGTCTTCCAACCCACGCACTCCCGACAGCAAACTTCTCAAAGCACCTGCAATCAAATCCACCTACCTCAAAGTCTCCAATCACTATAAGCAACCAAGGGCATCCAGAGCATCGATTGTCGGAATGCCTTTCTCCGATCTCCTCCTCAAAGGCGTCAAGCTTACAGCTAGAGGAGCCGGCTTGGTCGCAGTGGTCGCGGTGGTCAACATTGTACCAGCCGCGGCCTACGAGCGCTCTGGGTGGATGACTCAGAAGGATCTCGAGCGAAACATCAAGGCGCAGCAGAGCCGTCCAGGCACCTGAGTGTAAGTCTTCCGTGTGCATTTTGTGATCGTTTTGCGTGGGAAGAGGGTTGCTGACTGTTCACGATAGCGTAACAGAAGACTTTAGGGCACGAGATGGAGGACTTGGGGGATGAGAGCGGGTCTTGGGTGCTGTGAGCAGGATGATGGCCCTGCGAGTTCTTGTTAGAATCATGGATATGGACAAGGAAAGCATTCGATCATCAAATTCGGAACGACGAGCTTTTGCAAATCTCTATACGAAAGGGGCCACTTGAGAAGCTAGGCTTTCCTCTTCCCTTGGTCTTACTGTTTTGGCAGTCTAGCATGGTCGATAGCCTGTGGTACAGTAAATCCAGACATATCCCAAATTCCTTCCAAACACTAGTGACGGCTAACAGCCCGTGTAAGCGCTATTGGAAAATTGCCCCCGTGGTGCGCCTCTCCTTCTTTTGCCAATTTTGCAGTAGAAATGATCAGAGAATCGTCCAATCGAGACAAACTTTGCACTCCTTCCCTGTTCTTAGCGGTGGCTTACAGCGCTTTTAGACCCTCTGTTATCCAGCAATTGACTGTCATTCATCAAAAATTGAAGTTGGAATCTTCAAGTAGCACGAGTAGATAGATAAAGAATTTGCAGATGCGCCTTCCAGCCGGCAAAGGTCCTTAAAAACGCGCTCTTGAGCACGAAGATCGAGTACATTGATTGGATAGATAGGGGGCATTCGCATGTCGCAAATGTACGTCAAGTGTGTGTGTCTCCCGCGGCTGAGAATGCCGGAGATCCGCCAATGTATATCTCCCCAATCCAGATATGTGAGAAGCGTCGAGATGGATATCTCCCCATCCAAATACGTCCGGATTCTGGCAGTCCGGCAATGAGCGAAGATGAGATGCAGAAAAGAAGGCTCTCCCCTGGCTTGTCTCTGTTCCTTGTGGCTACTGGTCCATGTTGCTAGTTCCTTACCTGCCTCACCCCTGATACTGCCGTCTCAAGATCTTGGTCAAGACGTGCAGTCGTCGAATGCATCGAATGCAGTGGACATGTATACAGCCCTGATGCCCGGTAGAAGTTTGCGCTGACATGCTCTGCACAGATCAGAACTCTTCCCGATTCCCGACAGTTATTTAGCACTCAGGTTCTGGGCTTACGGCAATGAAGTAGACCCGGTCAGCATTATCGTTTCATTTCACTGACTTCCTTCCCGATACTGCGGTCATCCTCCACCCGCCATTGATCCCTAGACGCTATCACAGGACTTGAACTTGAACCCGGAAAAGCAATGCTGACTCTTAAGATGTGCTAGTGGACATTGCAATCGATCCTTATCGTCTCACGAGCCTTTCTGCAAGAACAGATCAATTTGCACGGCGATGAAGGCCACCCTCTCAACGGTGGGCTCGAATACGATTTAGGAGATGATTTGGAGATATTGATCAGGAAGATGCCTGAGGATCCGGATGGGCTGGACTGGTCCGAGCTGGAGGACGTCATTGCTGGACTCTGGGAGTACATCGTTACAGGCGTGCGGTATCGCGCGGTGACTTTTGATATCCTCGACATCGAGGACGATTCTCAGATCGGCTGGGGTCATATCGTCAAGTGGGAGAGAAATTCGCTTTCGAACAGGACGGCCAAAAGAGGTCTGGAGATCCCCACTCTGGCGCTGCCCTCTTCTGCAATCTCAATTCCTAACCAGCGCAACTCGAGCCTGCCTAACCTTGGTGGACCTGTCGACTGGCCGGTCGAGGATAGCGACATGACCCTCCGATTCTCGGGCAGCGGTGGTCATCGCTCCATAGGGCAAGCACTGGACCCGGAGGCGGTCAGGAACCTTTTCGTTGTCATAATCGAAATTGTTCAGAACGCCATCGCGGCTAGCGGGGAGGATGCCATACTGGGGGGCAGTAGCTTTCGCTATGGCAGACTGGTTGTGCTGGAAGTCATCAATTCGCCTCACATGCTTACCTGGGGACAACTTGCGACGGTGGTTCTGGGACTGGTCGATTACATGATTGACCACAAGCATTGCCGTTCGAGCTATTTCACTGTTTACGTCGGCGATCCAATGGTGGAGGTTGCGATCGGTAAGATTGCGAAAGGCTTTGCTCAGCATAACAATGTGACAGTAGCAAGAAGAAATCCTGTAGACGGAGGTGGAGCGGGTTGAGAACGATGCAAAGGCGGATTGAATAAGCTGAGAAGATTCAGAGACGTTAAAAGCTGACCGAACACGTGAATCTTCGACTGGCAGTAATCTTCGCTTGCTGCAGAAGGACACTTGACACGTATCTCGGCAACATCGACATCCTTCTCTCTGAAGGTCCTCTTCACTCCCTACCCAATCATGCCACACATTGCCAAAGGCATCTAGGATGACGCGTCAGAACGAAGGTCAAAAGTGTTTCCTCATGAGATCAGCTCCATTCTTCCGATGAGCCTACAGATCCCTGCTCCACTCCAGAACGGATTGTAGGACGAGAAGAAGCGCCAATCGTCATTTTGCAATTCCTAGACGCCTTCTCGAATTTCGTAAAGGTCCATGCTCACAGGCTTCTTTGTGGCAAAAGTTTGAGCAGGATTCAAGGCATGTGCGACGATGCATTGGGACAGTATGCCAGAATAGGAATGAGACAAGACAATTGATGAGCAGGAGGTGGTAAGAATATGTAGCAAAATTTATACATAGAGGGCCAAAACCCTTAATGAAGTCGTGGAGTTTAGACACAGTATCTTGGAAATACCAACGATTTCTGTAGATTTTTCCTCACAACCGTCACTTTACCTGTAAAGTGAATTCTTAGAAGTCAAATAGTTCAGGCGCAGTACCAGAAAATATCGACGGGTTTCGCGATTTTTACCTAAGAACCGTCACTTTACCTGCAAGGGAGAATTCATAGAAGTCGTACAGTTCACGCATAGTATCAGAAAATATCGACGAGTTTTTTCCTAAAAACCGTCATTTAATCTGCAAGGGGGGTTTTTAGAAGTCATATAGATCAGGCGTAAGACCAGAGACAATTATTTTATCTACAAGGGAGAAATTATAGAAATCGTATAGTTCAAGTGCAGTACCAGAAAATAGCAACGAAGTTCGCAAATGGTACCTAAGAACCGTGAAATTCCCTTTCTGGATGACTTTTGCTACATACTGTTACATTAACTTTCTGTGCCGGTATGGTCTTCGCCGTACAGGAGGCCATGCACATTCTCAGGCAAAAGCTTCCATGCGAAATCGCCGTCCTTGGAAACACGTGTTGCCTAATCTTATCAAATGTCTTGGAGCGGTGCGCTTATAGGAATCCCATTTATGTCGTCGCCTAAATAGAGATACGGGGATCGACGGCGCCAGCGTTTGCGGAGGAGTGCAAAACAGCTGGTTTGATTGGATCGCCAATCTGGCAATTCCACTACAGTACAATATAAGCCATCCCGTTGCAAAGTGCGACATTTACTTTGAATGCCTTTTTCGTCCATCGATGATCACATTCGGTGAAACGAGTTGATACGGCGGAGAATAGCCACGATGATGTCAATTAGCATCCCCAGAGGCGCGGGCTAACTGTGGCCCGTGCTTGTGGAGACGAAGGATGGATACTGTACTGTAGCTTCCCTGACTCCTTCCTGGGTATGGTGAGCGGGTTTTGAGTACATTAATCATGCTCCCCTCCATTTCTTGGCTGCCTCCTGAACCCCAGGTTTGGTGTGTTTTTACTGCGTGCTTACGAGAGCGTTGATAACGCCCAGCGATTATATGCCATTTTTTGATATCTCATTTGATTTGATTTTATCTGATCTGCGTGTCTACGCAGTCATCGCAGCATTCATCTTGCTCACCTTCTAAGACAACATGGCTGCAGAGCAGGAAGTATTCCAGGGTTCGCCGTTGTCTTCGGACACGCAGATCCCCAAGGAAGCTCAGAAATACGAGGAAGTAGACCCCAGCGCTGGCCCTCCTGCCAACGATGCCAAAGACGAAAGTTACGATAACATCGACTATCCTCCGCCATGGAAGTGGGAGAGATTCTTCATCGGAGGCTACAATCAGAGTCGCATGTTCAAGTTCAAGAAGCCCAAGACCATGTACACCGCTATCAACCTCTTTGCGGGTGTAGCCATCATGTTTTACGGTTATGATCAAGGTGTAATGTCGCAAGTCAACCTGAATGAAGACTACTGGAATCATAGTATGCATGCGTCTATTCTTAAAGGGGAAAACAGCTAACAACAGACCAGTGGGTATCAATTCCCCGATGGGCAACTCCCGAAACGTTGCTGCCGAGGGTGGAATTGTCTCTGTTTACTACGGTGGCACCCTCATCGGAGCACTTGTTGCTGGATCGCTAGCCGATCGCGCCGGACGCATAAAGGCTGTAGTATTCGGGTCTATGTGGGCTCTACTAGGTGCTGTACTACAGGCTTCCGCACAAAATATCGCCTGGATGTGCTGTGCTCGTGTTATCGCTGGGATAGGAGTGGGTGCTATCGACTGCGTCATTCCCGTCTGGTCTGCGGAAGTCTCTAGCCACTCTGCAAGAGGCACTTTCCTGGCAGTAGAATTCTTCATGGTGAGACAGCCTCCAGTTGCTACCTCCCTGATTTGGCTAACAAGAACAAGAATATTGGCGGTCTCGCTCTAGCTTACTGGATTGAATACTTCGCATACCTCAACCCCAACAAGTCCATGGCGTGGCGTACACCTCTCGCTCTTCAAATCATCTTCATCATTATCATTGGCGTTGGCGTGAATTATTTCCCGGAATCTCCGAGATGGCTCATGAAGGTCGGTCGCGAAGAAGAGGCACAAAACGTCCTTAAAGCTACCCGTGAAGGGGATGTGCAATATGAATTGAAGGAGATCAAGAAGGTCGTCAAGTTCGAGCTGGAGACCTCCACAGCAAACCACTACTGGGCGATGTTATTCCCAAAGGACAAGTACTCCAGGGGCTTGCGATGGCGGGTCTTCCTCGCTGTCTGGCTTCAGATCATGCAAGAACTTGTTGGAATCGGCGTGATCACCGTCTATGCGATTGATCTCTTCGAGGATGCTGGTTTTGGTGAGGAGCTTAGCAAGTTGTTGGCAGGTTTCAACAATTTGAGCTACATGCTCTCTGTGATCTTCGCTGTCTATACCTTGGACAGATTTGGTCGTAGATGTAAGTCATGTCATTGCATGTTCTCCCAAAACGTTGACTTACATGAAAAAGCAACAATGGTCTGGGGCTCCGTCGCCATGGCTCTTATCCTCCTCGTTGCCGGAATCCTCGACAAGTTTGCACAGGTGAAAGGACCCAACCAACACGCCTACGGCGCTGGAGTCGCGACTTTCACTTTCCTTTACACTGCCACATTTGGAGCTACGTGGTTGACCACACCCTGGCTTTACCCTACGGAAATATTCCCTCTCAACGTACGTGCAAAAGGTGGTGCTTGGTCCGTTGTTGGCTGGTCAATTGGAAACGGCGTCATCACCATGATCACGCCATTCCTTTTCCAAGCGATCAGTTACGGAACTCTGCTGTTGCTGTTCGGGCTCAATATCTTCTGCTTGCCATTCGTGATACTCATGTACCCTGAAACCTCGGGCCGGAGTCTGGAGCAGATGGATGCTTTCTTCGAGAATGGAAACAGCTGGAATGTCTTCAAGGCCAGCCGTAATATCAAAGATGCAGGAATTGAGGATTGGCGCTGGACCAAGAAGATGCAAGAGGAGGACTTCGAAGAGTTGGAGCAGGGAGGGAAGACAAGCAATGCGGGCAGAAGTCCGGAGGAGGACGAGAAAGATGCGAGGCTTAGTTGGAAAAAGAGGCCTGCATACACTTTTAGGCGCAAGGCTTCGAATGCTGGACTCATGTAAATGGGAGGCTTGGGAACGGGGCCCGGACAACTTGGATGGAAGCATTCTGGAGTCAATTTACTTGAGTTGTGTTTGAGAGCGCTTGTCACTTAGGCTCTGATCGAAACCATATGCAAGATAGATCGGGAAATCATTTTCGTCAGAGAATAATGTAGCAAAAGCTATATGTAGAGGGAATTTCAATTCATAATCGGAAGGAATAAATTAACGATTTTTAAGAAAGGTTTGTGAAACTATCATTTTTTCGGGCACTGTGCGTGAATTATACGGCTTCTACAAATTCTCTTTGGTAGGTAAAGTAATGATTTCTAGGAAACATCTGCCAAAATCGTACTTTTTTATGGTACTATACCTGAACTCTACGACTTCTATAGGGTCTCCCTAATAAACATAATAACCATTTTTAAGGAAAAGTTCATGAAAATTGTCACTATTTTGTGGCAACTGTCGGATTTCTACCATTTCACTAAGGGTTTTCGCCCCCCATGTATGACTTTTGCTACACACTCTTGAGATATAAGTACCTTACTTATACAGCATCATGCAGGCGTTCTGAGATCTGCGGGATTTGGGTTTGATTGCTCAGATCCTTGCACCGCTGCATCTCTCGCGCAACCTGCTTTGGGCTCTCCTTTAGATGTGTTAATTTCCCGCAGAAGGATCCTTAAAACTCAGCCTCCGCCAGGGGGCAAGGGTCAGCTACCAGACGTGATACCGCTCATCATGAGACTTGCAGCATACTGGAGCCCGCTTAAAACCAGGGTAGCTGCATGGTTATGTCACTGATGCCGACTGCCAAAGACTCTCAACTCGTGCAACAACAATGGCGGGCACTGCGGTAGCCGCGCAAGAATATTGGGGCTATTTGATCCAACCGGACAAGTCTCCGACACCCGTATTCGAGCAGCTATTGCTTGGAGTCGCAAACTACATCGTCAGTGCTTGCTTCCCCTCTTCTGTGACAGTGTGTGAATGGATACTTACCATGACGCAGAACAGACACATTGCGCCTTGGGACATCCAGACGCTTACGCCCGCCAAGCTCGCAGCCTTCTACCGCCTCGTCGGTGGTGACTACGACCCTCTCTTCCTCGAGACCTCGCAAACCTCGCTCTCCTTCATCTACCAATCCCTCGGCTGCTACCATACTCTCCAACCAGAAAAAGATCCCTACACACCCCCTACAATACCGTCTCTGACCCCTGCGGGCTTCGTACGATGGCAGACGGTCCAGCTGCTGCTGGAGCCAGAAGAGCATGTGCCATTTTTGCAAGAGGCGGTGAAGAGGTTCGATCTCACGAACCCGGCGGATGGCGCGCCGTTTCCAAGTATACTACCCAAGGAGAGTCTACCGTGTCAGCCGGATATAGAGATGGTGGAGTGGCATGAGACTGTGGCGGAAAAGCTGATGTTGGAAGCCCAGGCGTCGGCGGCAAGGGCGATGCCTCCAAGACCTAATCTCGCGTTGAGTGACATCGATTTGGAGAGCTCGAGGGATACTTCGTCGGTGGATTCGTATTCGGGTGTCGATGCTGCGCATGGAGCTGGATATTTCAGCCATCCTCGCGCCAACAATCGCGGCCCACTGTTCGTTCAGGTCCCATACAGAGTACGCCCACCACCACAGTATCCCAATCAAGAGCCTTGGTCCCCTGAGCGCCGCCGTAGCAGTCTACCCGACGATAGAGCCTACCCATCTTCGTGGCCTCGTGACGGGCCTACGCCTACGAACTACGCTCCTCCACCACCACTACCGCCGCCAAATAGCCATCCTCAACATCATCTTACACATCCACATCACCATCCCCACGTCCGTCCACGCCACACCAGAATCCCAAGCGACATCTCCATCACGAGCTCTGACACGTCGGACACATCGAGCATGACCACCAGCTCTGCCTCCATGAGTCCAGTACGCTACCACGCCAAGCTCCACTCTCCCTCAGGCCCATCTGGCCCTCGACGTCATTCTTCAACTGTTCCTCCACAGCGTCCTGCACAAGGTTACTCACCCTATCAAAGGCAGCCTTCCAGCCCCTCGCCCTCGAAAGCAAAGAACGTGCGATGGCAGGATATGGACGACGTGTTCGATGCGCCAAGACACAACATCCCAAGGAACCGTAGTATGGATTTGAGAGGGAGGGGGGATCCAAGAAATGAGTACAGAGTAGAGGACCAGAGGAGAGGAGCGAGGTCTGTGGGGCCAGTGACTGGGGTTGGTGGGAGGAGGTATGCTCCTAATGGGAGTGCGATGGACTGGAGATAAGTGGATTCATATCTACTAGGAAGGCGTTGATAGGATTTCTTTTCGTCGGATATACCCTTTTGTAATTGTATCTATTTTTTAATTACCGGCTGGTAGGAGGAATGGGTGAGCGAGCGAGCATTTGATATCATTCATACCACATAGCAAGGTGCAGGCGCATCTCTCCTATTCTTTTGTTTTACTAGCATATATAGAGGATGATCACTGCAAATAATTCAGCTTAGCGAATTACGATAGTGTATCGATGTTTCCGGTAAAACCGTGAGTTGCTCATCACGAAATGGGCGAAACCTTGGGTCGGCCCCCTCGTCACCTTCCCAAAACTCTTCTCCTTGTTTATCTTTTCCCTAAGCCTCTCGTCCCTATTTAGGTATTGTAAGTAGCTATTCAATCCAGGCCTTTCCTTTTTCAAAAGAACCGTGTAGATTTTTCTGTCATCTAGCTCATTGCTGCTATCTGTCTTCTTCGGGATCGATCCCTCATGCTACATATCGTCTTCGTCTTCGACCCTTCATCTCCCCCCAGCATCGACCCTCTCAAAACCGAACCCCCAGAACCGCCACCATGGCACCATCAAACCCAACGGACTCAGCCGTAGCCACCCTCTCGTCCTACAGAGCGGGAAAACGGCCCCTCCCCTACTGGCTCCTCAACGTCCCCGAACCCCAATGGCCGTCCCAATGCCCACCCTTCCTCACCGACATCTCGCCCCGGAACCTCGAAATCGTCAACGTCCCCGAAGCCGCGTTCCGGCGCCTGACGTGGCCGGAGGTGCGGCGGACGATCCGAGCCAACCGGATCGAGGAGTTCCGCCGCGCGCCGCTCGACCATCGGAATTATCTCTGCTATATGGCTCGGTTGAAGGAGGAGCATGGGTCCGTGATGGAGTATGTAAGGGATCGGCGCTTGAGGTGGACGGATCTTGATGCTAAGGGTTTGGCGTTCGAGGACCCGGGTGTGTATATGGTTTCGTTTTCGTGGATGGGGACGTTTTGTTTGAATGGTTTGTTTTTCTGACGAGAGTGTGGGGAGTGTGGGTAGATGATGTGAAGATTATCTATAATGATTGGCCTTATGGCATCGATAAGAGTATTGTCCATCTGTGCGTATGGACGAAGTTCCCGCTGGACGTCGATGAGAAGGATCCGGTACGTACATTTCGGCTCTAATCCTTCCCATAGAGTATTGACATTGAGTCTCGAGACGTGTTTCGGGAGCTAAAGCATCTTTCTACTTCCCAAAACCTCTCTTGGAACTCCATTTCCTGCCTCGAATAAGCAATGCTGACCGCGAAATCTGCGTAGAATGGGGATTTGACGCCGGAGATGAGGGGGAAGATTGATGGGTATGTGGAGAGGACTTTTGGGTCGAGGGTCCCGGCTGAGAATGTGGGTTGCTCTTTCTTCCTTATACCAAAGCTTTCACTTGTCGGTTGAGTTGTGAGGGTTCGGTTGGGTTTGACTGATGCCTTGTAAGATCATATGGTTTAAGAACTGGGCGAAGCTGAAATCGATACATTCCATGGAGCATTTTCATGTCATGATGAAGGACCCGGATATGGAGTTCATAAAGGAGATTACGAAGGGGGATAGCCCGGCCAGCTCACAGCTTTCCGAGAGTACGATATTAGACTAGACTCGGGGAATGGGATAAGGTATCATTTTGCTACAACGCACTGATGCATCTCTCTGAAAACCTTGATCTAAGGCTCCAAGATTGCTCGATTGCCAAAGGGCAATAGAGATCATTGACGATGCTACAGTGGTAGCATACAGCAGCTGGAGACTACTCTAAACGAACGTTCCCATCGGCCAACCGCTCCCCACCACTGCCCATTCTACGGAATATCAGCACCTACACCCTTACTTCTCCACACACCCTTTCGCCTCAGCTGAGAAGAATCAGCGGCAGCTTCGAATCTCGAGCCCCGCGTGGTGCGAAAAGCAGGTGAACTGACTCAAGAGGCTATCGTTTATGCTGCCACGGACTACGACTAGAATCCGTGGCTGCAGGTGAAGAAGTCGTGGTCTCTTTTGGATTCGCGATGGTCCGCCTCCAGGGTTGCGCGCGTGGGGCCTCGTTCTTTTCGTCCCGCACATCAATACCGTCCAGGTACGGTTACCGGAACTTATAGCCTTCCGCCCGAGGTACCTTCTCATCGCCAAGGCCGTCCGTGGGGGTGGGGGCGTGTCGACGACAGATAGCTGCTCTTTCGGCGTTTTTGGACCGTCACTGAACGTTTCATTTTCGGGAGCAGTAGAGTAGCGAGGATTGTTGGCGTGAAGGTTGAAAGGGCTTTTACCGCGACAGCTGCAAGAAGTGCAACACCGCCTTCGCACACGTGGTTGGTAGATTGAATGTTAGCAACAGTCCTCCTCTTTTGTTAGTGTTCGCCATAACCGCGAGGTCATACACATGTTCCGCCAGTATTGTTCAGGCCCGAAAAACACAAGGAAACAAAATCGTCTTCACTTGTTACTAGTTGCTTTTCTAAGTCAACCCAATGTGGGCAAAGCTCGAGATTGGTTTCAATCGGCGAAGGCTTACCGAGAGCTGTCCGTCCAATGGATGAGGTTTCGCCCAGACCTATCGCATCGCCTTCAGGAGATCCCAGACCATCTCTCCACCTTTCACGCCATCCAATACAAACAGGTAGTCCTTCTCGCGAGTCGCCTCCTCACTCTTCAGACATGCGGCAGCTTTCTCAACCGCCCCCTTGCGATCCGTCAGCATCCTAGGCGCCAGCCAACACCAAAGCCAATCGGCATTCACACCCTCCACGCCGAGCGTCCGCTCCCACTTCCAACTGCGGGAAAGTCGCGCACTGCCCAGATCGAACTCCACGTGGAGCCCCTGGCAAGTCGCCAATCCTGGTGACGCTGTACGCCCAGTCCAGGCCGTCCGTCGCCCACCATCCTCCACACGAGGGTCTACATCTGCGACCCTCGATCTTGAGACTGAGGGTTTTGCAGGTGCGGACCGGCCATGCGGCCCACTTCTCGGAACGTGCGCACCCGGTCGAGGGACGCCGGGTCTCGCTCGACGTGGTGATCGATCTCCAGATGGGAACCGATGCTCTTGATGTTGGCCGGCGACTCCCGAGTTCGATCTTTCAGGAAAGGCGGCACGGCGCTCTTACTGTAAAAGAAGAAAGTGTTCTCGTGGTAAAATATGGAGTGGGCTTCCCTTCGGACCTTCTTGTTGGTGCGTAAGAGCGCTGGACTCAGATCGGAGTTGTGATCAACGTCCCTAGTGTAGACGGTCCTGAAGGAGTCAGGTGTCTCCCGACACTCGTGACATCTGAATTTGAGCCTCGAGCAAGAGCATCTGCTACATTGGTGGAGAATCTTCGCGGTCTGGTAGGGTTTTCGGAATCGTTCGGCGGAACGCTTCGTGGTTTGGTATTGGTCGGGGTGCATGTCCTGTATGTGTAATTCGTGAGCTAGATTCCATCCAAACCGAATTCGTCCTGAACAGCAGAGGAAAGGCGGCCTCTCGAGAATTGGTTCTCAGAGATATCTCACCGGACTGTGAACGAATTGATAGAAGAAGATTGTCAGCACAAGCTGGACAGGCACCTCCAGCCCCTGATGCTGAAGCCCACGGGTGCGCTGTCGGCTCGCGAATGCACCGCGCGAGAAGACTGGGTGGACGCAGTGGTCCTTCAGCATCTAGGCCTGCGAGTCTTGCATTGGTATTGACGGATCACCGGGAATTATAGACTAGCTGGGGACATTAACAGCAGATGGAAGAGGAGTCGAATGATGGATCATGACACGCTTGCCACTCTCCGGCTACGCAATATGACAACCTTCACCCTTTGAGCATCTCCCATGTTTGCGCTTTCTTTCCAACCCTTCCCCTCTTTGCCACCTACATCAAGAAATCCCTGGAAGAAACACGATCTAAAGACAAGATTTTCCAGTCAAATAAAGATGTAGAACCCCTCTTCCTGACCCAGTGGAAGAGAGGCAAATCTGCAGACAGCCTCGAATTGCTGGGTGATGAGCGGTGCTCAGATTACATATACCTGTAGAGTACGGAGCCCAGTGGCTATCGAGTCGCAATGAACCGAAAACGAGGCTGGCTGCTTCGTGCCGTTCCGAGGTTATCTCTCGGCCAGGATTCATGCAAGGCGAGCTGCCAATGAAAAGCAAGTTTACAGATAGCTGGTCCAGTACTCCAGTGAGGCTTGCCAAGACTTTCGGATGCTAGCTTGGCTACTTGTGTTGCCTAAGATGCAGACTGGATACCAATACATATGTCGTTGATTCAATCTTGTAGGGAAAACCCATGGATAAGTGCATGGAGTCTAGACTTCAAAGGTGATTGATAAGTGATTGTGGGTAGTCACGAGTGGGAACAGTTGCCAAGGACGGATCGCTGAACGTCATTTTCTTGGCTTCCGCTGTAAGCCTTTCTACCAACGTTGCGGATCCCTTGAAAGCCCGACTTCTTGTCCGTGCTCTTTACCTGCTTTGAAACCTTTTCGGGGGATAATATGTCCCTTGCCCCTTACTACTCCTCCTGCTCTTTCCAACCTTGACTTCATCCTCTCATCATCCCTCCGAGCCAGCTTCCCACACCACTAGTGTTACTCCACAGCATTCAAGATGCCTTTAGGCCTCCATAAGCACGGCGACGATCATCGGCGCATGTCGCTGAGCAGTCAGTCCTTACCTCGGCTATCGGCTTCGACGAAGCATTTAAGCTGACGGCCTGCCGAACAGGGAAATCGGCAGACGAAGGGAGTGCAGAAGCAGCTGGCGGTGACGATGAAACGGGTCAGAGAATCGACCCATGCCTGTCCTGAACAAGCAATTCTGACAAAATTCTAGTGGTGGAACCGGATCAGGGAAATGGTCAGTGAAGAGCTATGCAACGGGCTGCTCCTCCTGTCGAAGGTGTTGGTGTGAATACTGAAGCGCCGTCCGGTTGGTAGTACTGTCACATATCATATCACAACTGCGGCCAGGCGCAGACCTGAACAAAGTCACCCTACCTACATTCATCCTAGAACCGAAATCTATGCTGGAACGGATAACGAAGTAAGCGTTCGGGTCTCTGGTTCTGGCTGATCTCTAACGATCCGCGATAGCTTCATGGCACATCCTGAAACTCTCCTTCCTATGCCCGAAATCGAAGATCCAACACAGCGTTTCGTTTCCGTCGTCAAATTTTACTTGAGCGGCTGGCATATCAAACCACCGTACGTTGGCTTTGGCTGGTATAAGAAGCACGTTGGAACCTTTGGCTGAAGACAACCGCAGGGGCGTGAAGAAACCTCTCAATCCGATTCTTGGCGAAACATTTACCTGTTATTGGGACTATCCGGATCATACTCGAGGATACTACATATCAGAGCAAACATCACATCACCCTCCAAAGTCCAGCTATTTCTTCATGGCACCTGAACACAACATACGGATAGATGGGGCATTGAAGCCGAGAAGTAAATTCTTGGGCAACTCAGCTGCAAGTTTGATGGAGGGCGTAGGTGTTCTACGGTTCATGAACCGGGGCAGAACACAAGGCGGAGAGAGATAGTATGCAGGTCTTACACGACAATGCTTGGCACCGCTGACAGTATGTTACAACTTAGCTTCCTCACGCAGCCGAATATGTACGCACGTGGAATACTATTCGGAAAGATGAAGTACGAATTGGGCGACCACAGTTTCATTAAATGTCCTGAGAATGGCCTGATGGCAGACATCGAGTTCAAGACCAAAGGATACTTTGGTGGGACCTACAACGCAATAGGCGGGAACATCAAGAACGAAAAGACCGGAGAGACTTTATTCGAGCTATCAGGCATGTGGAGTGGCGAGATGGTATTGAAGGATGTCAGGGTAGGAAGATACGCGATTTACCCTTGATGCCCTACTCTGCTGACCTACACCTAGACTGGACATAAAGAAGTTCTCTTCAATGCGTCACATGCGAAGCACACGCCTCCAGTTATACGACCAATTGAAGAACAAGATGAGCGGGAGTCGCAGAGGCTGTGGCTTAAGACCGTGATAGCCATCAAGGAGTCAAATCATATTGCTGCGACAGAGGAGAAGTCGAAAGTAGAAGACAGACAACGAGATGAGACCGCAAAGAGAGCGGAGCAGGGAATTGAGTGGCAACCAAAACTTTTCCGGCCAGTTCGTGGAGGGCCTGGTGGACCAGAAGAAGGAGAAGAAGACCTGGATTGGATACTAAACGCGAATATGTATGTGTTTAGCTGAGTCCATATGACTGTACTGACCTGACAATGCTAGCGATGGTGCTACTCCCGAAGAAAAAACCAAGCAGATACTTGCCATCGCTCCAATACTCAGAGGTCAGCAACACAACCAGCAGAGCAAGGCTTCCCAGCCTCAGCAAAGCCAAGAGAACTCACAACCACCAAGTCAGCCACAGCAGCAGGCGGTAGCCCACGACGATTTGATCGATTTCGGCCAGTCAAACCCAGCCCCAAGTACGTCTGCGGCAGTAGGACAGAGTAATCCAATGCAGTTTCAGCCAAATGCACCCCCAGGGATGCAAGCGCCACTACAGCCGGGCCATCCGATCAAGCGTGTCGACACGAAAACAAACAATCTTGATGAATTCGTCGACGCACCAGGTTATTAGACAGTAACTCAGAAGGGGCATGCTCTGGAAGAGGGTGACGACAGCGACGGCATGGTAGGTCTCCATTTGGCTTGTTGGCATATCCACAAAGCTTCTAAAAGGGGGTTTATGGTCTCTGCAATTTCCCCTCGATTGAACAGCATGATTAGGCGAACAGCATCTTCATTCAATAAATGTTCGCCCTGTCAATGACTAGCTAGGGACTGAGCTGCTTTTCAACCAAGTTCAGCTCACCTCTTCCTGCATGCTGTCAACTACCATTCCATTACCATACTAAGATTCTAGCCAAAATCCCCAGATTCCCCCACTTTGACATTGTCCACACCAAATCCCTCTCCTTACCCCCTGCCTTTCCGACAATCCGGACAAAACCACTTCCCAACCGGTTCCCTCGTAACAGCCACACAACTCCAATGAAACCACTCATTCGGACAATCATCATTATCACAAGCAACCATGTTCCCATAGCTCACACTGTGACATACACAGTACTTCTTATCATCTCCCTCTCCCTCATCATCCCCTTCTTCCATCTCTACATCCTCGTCATTGTCATCTCCCATCACGCTATCGTCGTCCCCAGTGGTCGACAGTGGAGTTCCAGATTTTTTATTGTGTTGGTTTCCACGGCGTCGGGATCCGGCGGCATTGGATTTCTTGGTAGCAGCGGGATTGAGGTGCCCGATGCGTTGATGGGGAGGTTGACCAGCGCGTCCGTTCGGTGGTTTCTTGTGAGTGGGACGCGTTGGACCGGCGCTACTGCCGCGGGAGGCTGCGAGATCTCCTTTCGGAGTGCTGGGCCCAAGGGATGACTGACGAAGCGACGACGACGTAGCTGGAATGGAAAGATGATGCGGATTTAACCGCCTACGCTTCGACGGATCAGTCGACGGAGACCGATGTGCGTTGCGCGCTTGGTTGAGATGAGTGGCCGGAGCGGTCGTTTGCAGCGGAGATGGTTGCCGAGCGGATGCTGATGGCTGGACGAGGCGACTGATGGGGTTGTTCGCGATGGTGGTGGAGGGGCCGGCGTTCCCGGACAGCGGGTGCAGAGGGGTTGGGCCGCCGGTTGTGGTGGATGAGAGGGGTGGAAGACGCGTGCTGAGGGTGTTATTGTTGAGGAGGGAGGGGAGCTGCGGGTCTGGATGGATGGCGCCTTCGTTTTGGAGATCGCGGATTTTGAAGTCGAGGCGTTTGATTTGGCGGTCCAGCTGGAGAGATGGTGTTAGCAAGATCTGATATCCTCCTGCCGGCTGGAAAAGGAGACAGAAAGAAGACTTACCAATAAAGCGGCCTTCTCACTCAAGCCGACCTTTTCCTCTTGGACAACCTGCGCTTTGTCGAAGTTGGCCATGACGTTTTTGCAATAGCCTTCATCTTTGGGATTTGGTTGACCAGCTCCGTTCAGCTTGAGGAACTTTTGAATGCTGCTATCGCGAGTTGCAATGACATTTCGGCACTCTTGGACAACTCGATCTTTGGCTTGGATTTCTTCGAGAAGATGAGCGATTTCTGCGGGTAGGTTTGCCACTGTGTAGGGTGGTTAGTCGTGTACAGGCGTACAAGTCAATTTCAGGTATTTACCATCTTGAACGAACTGCTCTAACACAGAAGCTGCATCCTCTGCCATTGCCATGTCCGAACAAATGAGACACAGATGTATGGCTTTGTCTTTTGATTTTCTCTTTCGAATACTCTTAGCGAATAGAGAACCAGCTGCCCTTAAACAATCTTTTTCAAGGCACAAGTTTATCCAAGGAAATAGTTCTCAAGATTTTGAGGTGTCCAGTGAATTCGCACGATACCGATGTTTTCTTAAATAATCGACCAAAAACAAGAGTGTTTACGCATAGCTATTTCCCTTTTTCACCCTTGATCGCTATCCTATCCTATCGCCTAGGGTTTGCCCCGGGAGAGTGAGCGCAATACCTTGACTTTGGTTATCGCCCGAAAGCTGCTACAGTCCCTTCAGATTTAAAGAATCACTCCGATAATGAAATGATGGAAAGTGGTGTTGATGCGATGATTTGATATCCTTTCGAGATAATTCTGGAAGACAGTCGTGTTGTTTTTCTCTGCTTGATCAAGCTGAGAGCGAATGGGAGTCACTGATCTGGTCAGGAAGTGCGAGCCGAGCCGTAGCTATGACAAGGCGCATCTCGGTTGTTCTTGCTTCCAGAATTGTTCCTGACGGTCCTCTTCACCTCATTGTCTAGAAATGCTCCTCTCCCCTTCAATCGCTGGCTACTTGTTCTGAACATGAGAAGACTCACTGCTCCAAGGGAAAACATCTGTACCTCATCTCAGAGAAGGAAGGGATGTGAAAAAAGGCGATATGGCGAAGACATCTGTAGTTCAAGACTACAAACATCCACAACCTGGAACAACATCCACTTTCACTGTCGATGAGAAGATTCGGAGGGAGATCTGGAACAATGGAATCAAAAAGCCAAAGGGATACACCGTATCTTACCATGCCAACCCTGAAATGGAACAGATGCATTTTGGGCAGAAGCACCCTATGAAGCCATGGCGACTGACCTTGACAAACAAGATTGTCATGGCTTATGGCATGCATGAAGCAATGGACATCTACATACCTAGGGCGGCTTCAAGCCAAGAATTGAAAGATTTTCACCGCGGAGATTACATTGACTTCTTGCAAAGGTCAGTGGTGGATATGCCTCCGGTCTTGCTTTAGCATTGCTGAATCACCACCTTTAGAGTCACTCCGTCAGACAACACATGGGATCCCGACAGCCAGACATATGCTTATAATACCGGTGACGACTGCCCGATCTTCGACGGTCTCTACAACTACTGCTCGCTCTATGCAGGAGCCTCTCTTGATGCAGCCCGCAAGCTCACAAACCACCAGTCTAACATTGCGATCAACTGGTCAGGAGGGCTGCACCATGCCAAGAAGAATGAAGCTTCTGGATTTTGCTACATCAACGACATTGTCCTCGCTATCCTTCAGCTACTTCTTCATCACCCTCGAGTCCTCTACATCGACATCGATGTCCACCATGGCGATGGCGTCGAACAAGCCTTCTGGTCCACAGACCGCGTCATGACACTTTCATTCCATAAGTACAACAGAGCCGAGTTCTTCCCCGGTACCGGTGCCCTAGACGACACTGGCCCTCTCAACAATGCGAGTCCTGGCGCCCACCATTCCCTCAACGTGCCCCTGCATGATGGCATCGAGGATGCGCAATATATCAAACTTTTCGAAGACGTAGTGAAGCCTTGTGTGCGCCAGTACAAGCCTACAGCGATCGTCCTTCAATGTGGCGCCGACTCACTCGGTGGAGACCGACTTGGCTGCTTCAACGTCAACATCAAGGCACATGGTGCATGTGTAGCTTTCGTCAAAAAATTCAATTTGCCTCTGCTTGTACTTGGCGGCGGAGGGTACACACCACGGAATGTGGCCAAAGCATGGGCTTATGAGACTAGCTTGTGCATTGGTGCGGAGGTGCATCCGAATCTTCCGGCTCACACTCCATTCTTAGAACACTTCGGCAACGAGAAGACCCTTTTTCCCAAATTAGACTTCACGCGGTACGAGAACAAGAACAGCAGGGTGTACTTGGAAAGCGTAGTGATGGGGATAATGGAACAATTACGGTACCTTCAGGGAGCGCCGAGTGTACAGATGCAGCACATACCGCCAGATTTGGGCGGGTTGAGGGACGAATTGGAAAAGGAAGTCTTTGAAGATATGGAAGAGAGGGAGCGGTCTAGACGAAAGAAAGAAAGAAGAGGATGAAAACCATTCTCAAGAGAAAAGTTTCAGCAATTGCTCAAGAACAGTGCACCAATAGAGGTGTTGGGGAGAAGCACAGGTCTTGGAGCAAAGTCCAGATACAGTGTTCCTAGGCCCATGACCGGAGAAGTACGGCAAAGGAAGTCATCATGGCTGATGATACTGCATACAACACGTACACTGTTCTAGAAGGATCTCTCCAATGGATCAAGAAGGATCGCTGATCTCTTCCCTAAAGACAGAAATGATGTTCGAACCCTCGCTGTGATCATTGCTTTGAAAGTGGATCGCGGCGCAAGTACAAGGTCCTCAGACGCCAAGAGAACGCCGCGTGAAGCGGTTCAACCTTGTGTCCCAAGCATCGCTTGGAGCGCTATCGTCAATAATGATATCAACGACTGCGATTATCGACCCAGGTTGGACGGTATCGTAGATCTAGCTTTGCATCCCACGCGGAGCCGACTTGCGCTCCAGCCTCATTGGCTCGAATGTCAGCAAAACTTCAAGACGCCCCCAATCGACATCGACCGCTACTTAAAGACCAACTGCTGAGCTCTTTTGAGGTTTCACAACATTGCAAAATGGAAATCAAATGGTGCTCTTATGTGATGAATCTTCAGCTGAGAATCCACCGTGACCGTGTGGGCAAGTGTGCTGAGGGTTTGAATGTTTCAGGCATATTTGTCAAGCGATTCGAAAACGTGGGCATGTCCTTGGCTATGTGAAGCTCCCGTGTTACTCGTGCCCTCGTCAACCCCCCTTTATTATTGTTCTTTGCTCTGGGATACTTGAGTGTATCATCTTCCCGTCCCTTTCCGTCTTCTTATCCCTTGTCTTTCACATTCTTTCGTACGAGCACAGTCTCCTCCCGGAGTACCGTTGCTCGGCGCCCAGCCCTTGAAGATACCAAGACTCTTGTCAGCTCCTCATCAAATCAGCATCTCATTGATTGGAACATCGTCCGCATACCAGGGTCCAACACAAGCACTTTCTACGCTTGGTTGCTATATCCCACAACCAGGATGGCCAGGCCTGATGATCCCGTTCACCTCAAGAACTTCGACCCTAAAACCTTCTATCCATCCATTGCCGTCCGTGGAGACTCCCTCGATACAAGCATATACCCATCCTCCTCTATCTCTCAAGCCCAATCCCAAGCCCATCATGCTCATAGACATCTACCTCGGCCAGAGCTCAGACACACGTACGTCCTCGTCTACCATGCCGG